GAAACAGAAATCAAGACAGATGAAAAGGTTTCTACTCGTAATTGAAGACTTTAACACTCCTTCCATAATGGACAGAATCAGAAAATATGCTGATGTTGAGTAGCTATCAACTAGACCTTGTAGGATCCTACACTTAATTGCATAAACTATATCTTCTTTCCAAATGCACACTGAATACATCTTGGTGTACTTTAACCTTGAAAGAAAGATAAAAATGCTTTCACATCTATTAGCTAATTGGTTATTGCAACTGCCATGGCTCTGCCTAGATCTTCTTCAGCAAGACAAACTATATCCTTCAACTGATGAATAATAGTAATAGCTTACACTTGCTTCTCAGAGGGCTGGCTGCAGTTGGCTGATCAAAACCACACCACCCTTAGGAGACCACTTTGGAATGGCTGGATGTACGTCCTCACCGGTGGAAGCCCAAAGTCAGTGGCTGAGTAGTGTTGGGGTACAAGAGATCAGCTGTTTTTGGTAAACAACACATGTTCCATAGTGCTCTACAAATTCAAGATGAGATTAGATTTTTACCATTATCTATATATTTGCAAAACTTTTGGTTCAACTTATTCCATGTCTTTCCTTACAAAACTCTCCCAGGGTAAGAACAATGTCTTACATCAGTTGTAAAAAAAAAAAAAAGTTTTAGTCTCTGTCTTTATTGAAGTCTACTGGGATAGTTTTCATTAGGAGTGACCACTGGAGGCATAGTCTGGAAAAACTGCTGAAGGCTTGACTGACTGCCACAGTCTTGTGGAGAATGTTGCTATGACATACACGAGAGAAGGAATTTGCTGTGTAATGTCTCTGACTTACGAGAGCAATGACGAAGAGAGTACTATGGTCACTGGACTGGTCCATTGCTGCTGAGTGCCAATGATTTAATGAAGAGAATGATGGGTTTGGTTGATTAAGCAGCAACCTACAAAAAAGAATATATCATTTGACACAGTTAAGGACTGGAATGTGGCTTTAAGAGCAGCAGAATTTGACAGAAAACTGACCTTTCATTATAGTCACCTTTGCTACCCTAAGCCTAGAACGACATTACTTGGACTCTTTTGTGCCTCTGAGAGGGACTATTCCTCTTTCTTAGGAGAAAAGGACCATGTTATGCCTCTGATAATGCAAAAGCTTCAAGGGAGGCTGGTGCCTTACAGAATGCTTTCTATTTTCATAACCTGAATTCATTTCACCCGTTGGCCAACAGAGCAACAACCATAGTTAATTCTTTCATAGACCCATGGAGAAATCTTGGGCCTATTAGTAGGGATGGGAAGTTGATGTCCAGAGTATCTGGTAACATCTGCCTAAAGTGTTCTATAGGAACTCACCAAGTATGTCTGAGAGTAAACCCTGAAGGCTATGGAGTGGAGGAAGTGGAATATAAAAAAGGTGCATTTATTTGGGATATATTGGCTTTCTATGCAACCTAGCATATCTTGTCATTTAGAATATTTAGGCCATTTACATTTAATGTAATTAATGAAGATTAAGTATATTATCTTGTTCTTGAGTAAATGGATAAATTTGGTGACAACTTTCTCTCTTTTAGCCTATTAATCATTGTTATCATTTTAGCTTTTTATTTTTAGGATGTACAACTGTAACTCATTAGAGTCCACTTTAGGTAATACTGGCATTGAACTACTCATATATAGAAGAACCTCTGGGAAGAATTCTTTCATTTTAATTTTCAACAGTTTTTGTTGTCACAAATTAATTTGTTATAAAATAATGGTTATTATTGTGCTTTAGACTAAATTATCTTTGAATAAATTTATGTAATAAAAAATTTAAAATATGGCAATGACAATCATCATTTCCAGTGGTTTTTATTTACTTGGTATAATTTCCCAATTGTTTGGGGGAACATTCTTTAACATTTATTGTGGTATATATCTTTCTGTTTTCTTTTCTTTTTTCCAGACATGGTTTCTCTGTGTTGCTTTGTAGACCAGGCTGGCCTGGAACTCACGGAGATTTACCTGCCTCTGTCTCCCGAGTGCTGGGATTAAAGGCCTGTGTCATCACTGCCTGGCTGCAGTATATGTCTTTTACTACAGTTCATTCTTCTTCTACACATTTTAAAGTTTAAATTTCTTCTTTGCTTTTGAGAGATTTCTCCCGTATTATTTTCAGTCTGGTTTAGGCTGATTAGTTTTTGTGGCTTTTTAAAAGGTTTATCATTGGTAGCAAACATTTTCTCAGTCTGTAGCTTATTTTTCTTCATTATTTCATTCCATTCAAGTAGCAAATATTTTCAGTTTTGATGAAGTTTGACATGTTTTCTTCACATTTTGTTCAGGTTTCTTTCCTCTCAAGTGGGGACTTAATGGCCCAAAAGTTTTCTGGCTTCTAAAGTAAATCACAAGAGCTTTTTCCCTCCAAGCACATCTTAACTGCATCTTAGAAATTTTCTAATGTGTTTTCATTTGCATTCCATTAACATATTTTCTAATTTCCCCTTGCTTCTTAAATGCATGTCATTTAGAAACACTTTATTCCACATGCAAGATTTTCCAGACAGCATTGTCACTGCTTTATAGTTCAATTTTTTTTGGGGGGGGGGAATCCAGAGAGTTTATTTTTTTCAGTCTTGAATATTTCTAAACTTCTTTTTTTGTTGTTGTTGATTCAAGGCAGTTCATCTTAATGTTCCATTATGCTAGTAAAGAGTTTGCATTCTGTTCTTTTGGGTGTGTCATTTTCCTACAACTATTTTCTTAAATGGCTAGTAAAAGGAGAATGTCACACAAGGTTGAATTCAGAATCTTGGCGATTCAGTGTGTAAATTCTGAATGATTTGAGATCTAACACAGAGAGTGTTTTAATAGTAGTTAATAGTAGGTTTCACTATGCACTAAATGGTATACAAGTATATACAATAATGACCTAAGAAATGAGGCATTAGCAAATGAATGATGATATTTGATGGCCAAAGTTTCTGTGTGAAAAACACTTTCTCATTTTTGTTTGATTTCTCTTCACATTTCAGAGCGGACTTGGACTCATTTTCATCAGGAAGTCTTTTTGGCATGCCTGCCAAGGATCAGGCCCTCTGGCATATACTGTCAGGATAGTTTGGCATATCTTTTCTGTAGACTTTGTAATAATAATAATGAAAAAAAGCCAAACTATATCAGACTATTAAAGATGTTATGACTTCTCAAAGAGTTATCTCAAAATAACAATTTTTAAAAAGAGTGATATTGAGTTGTCAACTAAAGTACTACTCAAACTTAGCTTTTGGTAAGCAGTATTTCTCCTTTGAAGGCACCTTTGAAAGTCGCCTTCTATCTTCACAAGACAGCTGATTTCTGAGCCTTTTGTATCAACATCCAATGGTTCATAAAATGCTGCACAGAAAAAAGCACACAAAACAGCTGGAATGTGAACTCCCATTCTTCTGTCTACACATACCTAGGCACATAGAGTAGGTATACCCTCCAGATATCCCTGGACTCCCGAAAGAAAACCCAGATACAAATGGCATATTTGGCTTTAGCAGTTTCTTTTCCAGACAGAATCTAAACATTGTGCCATTGGAGCTGAAGTTTCTTGCAAACTTTCAGGCAGGGAGAATTTCTGCGTTCCTTGAACACTTAGAACTTAATCTCTTCCACAGCTCTTGACGACTGCGTGAGCGGCACTTACAGGAAAATGCAGGTTTCCTGGCAATGGACTTGGAAGAGCTGCTTTCATCCTGTCTCAGGCTTACTTTGTAAATTATGTGAAACACTTTTAGACAGACACTGGCACTCATAAATTATACAGCTGATTTGCATATTCCAGTCATGAGACATTATGCAAAGTGACATGATTTGCATAATGGATTCCTCTTGTCGCTTCACTTGCTGTGTGCTTTTAAAAAACAAAATGAAATAAAATGAAAGCATGAAAAGGTGAAAGCATTAAGTTCCCAGCCTTGCCTGACTCTTTCCCAACTGCAATATCAATTGCTTTTATTTTGTACGGAGGCTCTGGGAAAGGGGATGGCAAGCAAAGATACATACACACACAAAATAACAAAGAGCCTTGGTAGGAATTTTGCTCTTAATTATACTATGTACTTTCTCACTGAAATCCTTTACCAAAAATAACCTAAACTGGCCAAGAGGAATGGAAACAAAATAAAACAGACACTGATAAAAACTTTATGGAACTTAATATTTGTGCTATTTAGGGAGGGGGCACCCTTCCTTTTGTGAAACCAAAAAACAACAATTCAAGAAAGTCTTAAAGACACCATTATTTTGTTGCCACTAGAAAAGAAGCGTTTTGTGGAGGAGATAAACGGTCTTGGGGAGGGGCTTATCCCATTTCCTGACAAACTTCTGAAGGGGTTTCCTAGTGTGGAAACGGAAGGAAGAGGAAAGGCAGGGTTGGGTTTGATTATTTGACAAAATATATAATGGCTCCATATACTGTACAGGATGAGGCAGTGCCACGTCGACTTCCATCCGCTCTACTCCAATAAGCAGGCAACGTTCCCTCAGCAGTTGCTAGTTTTGCTGCGGGCTCTCCCTGCCCCCCTGCGCCAGTGCGGAAGGCAGAGTGTGCCAAGCGGCTGGCGTCTGTACCCTGTGGGAAAAGTTAACTGTAATTCTTCGGCTTTTAAAATCAATTAACCCGTGTGTTAATTAACGTCAAGTCGACGGGAGGAGGAGAAGAAGGGGAGGGCGGGAGGAAAGAAAAAAGCTGCAAGGGCGGATGGCAGAAGAGTTGGCACGGTGCCATCCATTCAGGGGCAACGCCACAGTTTCGTGTGATAGCAGCAGCGGGTATATGTTACCGGGCCCTGTATGCGGGCCAGACAGTGCGGTAAAACCAAGGGAGATTATCCAGACCCCCAGGAGCGAACAGCAAGCAGCAACGCAAGGCGCAAGTGCCAGGATTACAGCCCAGGCTGCTCCAACTATGAGCCCTTCCTTGGACCCTGGGAGTCGGCTACTTGGGGTTCGGGGGTCTTCCACACCAAAGAAGCACAAAGCTGACTTTAATCACTTTTTTCATTTAAACTTGATTCTGCCGCAGTGGAGCCAGCACAGCGGATGTTTTCACACCCAGCAAGACAAAGGCCGTTGTCTCCGCCATGACACTGTTCCGTTCCAAGCAGAGGCCGGGATCCTGGACATCTTGAAAAATCAAAAAGAAACAAGGAAAACAAACAACAGATACAGCAACAATCAGAAAATAATTATCAACCAACAAAACTGTTTGTCCGTTTGCCCATGCCAAGGGTGATGTGGGCATCTGTTGCAGCAGAAGGCACTTGTATGGGCTATTTTTGTTTTTTCATTAAAATTTTTGTGGGGGCAAGCTACTGGCTTATTTGCTATTCAACTTCGTTTATAATTAACTTAAAAAAAAACACCATTCAGCCTAGTCAACAACAAACAAAGAGGAAAAGCAGACATCGGAAGAGAAATGCCATAGGAAGCGGCATGAATGCATGCCACAGCCGGTGCCACTTGCCATTCGGAAAACCTCAGGGAAAGATGCCAATTTTACAGCTCCGAAGAAGGCAGAGAAGGGAACACAAAGGTCTACAAATAGAATTCATAAGGAAAGAATACTACTTTTACAATCCTGGATAGAAATCACACACAGCCTCTGCTGAGAGAAAGAGGGAGTGTTTAAGAGGAGCTAGAGATGGGTAGACGTGAAAACAGGCAGCCATCGATTGCCTATAGATCTATGTGTGTGAGGCTGTATGTGTATTCAAGATACTCATACTTTCTGACAAACCGAATGCTTAGAGATGTGTATGCTTGCATGCTATAGGTATGGGTACGTATACAGGTGTCTATGTTTTACATAGACATGTATGTGGGGTGTATGCATGTCTGAGAAGTAGGAGAGGTTGGCAGAGGAGAAGGTGATATGTGTATGTGCATGTATGTGTGCCTGTGTACTTCCCATTCCCTAGCCCAGGTACACACAGAAGACAAAATAAAATCATACTGGAGCAGCAAGCAGGCAGCCAGAGATTTATCTGCATTCACTGCTATCACCAGGGAGATGAATGGGGCCGATCTGAAGCCCTTTTTACAAGATCCACTACGGGAGTGGAGGAGGAGGAGGGATGCCACACAGACATGCACAAACTTGAAGGCAGAGGGGTTTGGAAGGGGCTACTCAGGAAACTCTGGTGGCATGATGCTGAGGAGAAGAAGGGGGAAGAGGCTTGTCTCTATGTGTTAGGTGCTTAAAATAAAGACGACCTGCAAACGGGTCTGAGGGGACGGCTGGTACTCACGGTTTCTGCGCTGCTGTGAATCCTGAAGGTGTTCTGTTGGCACCGGGCGCTGAGCCAGGGGCAGGCGCTGAAAACAAAAGGGAGACAAAAAAATAAAGTCATTCAATGGGAATATTAATTGCTGCTCTTGTGGATTTTACAAAACACACAAACTGTTTTAATTTTTTTCTTTTTTTAAATTGTGGATTGGCATGTGCCCCTTTCGCATGGAATATACAAGTAGTGTGGGATTTACAGACCAGTTACGGGACTCAGGATTAACCGCGCTGGCATCTTTTGGGCATATTCTTCCTTTTAATGAATGTGCTTTGGCTGTTAATGAGGAATAATCGTTTGGCTAATGAGCTTTGAAACATTAAGAGAAAAGGTTTTGGTTTTTTTTTCCCCGTTAATCGCTCTGGTGCGACTGCATGGATGGATTACAAAAGACAGCAATAGGAGAGCAGTACAAAGGTTGGGGGGCTCTTCTGGAGTGGGAGAAGCACCGAGATGGGTGATGTGCCCCTCATCTTTCCTTCCTCCTCTCTTTCAGTCTCTCTGCCAACTGCTATGGGTTTCCATGAGTCGGCAATCAAAGTGGATGGTCGGAAGGATTATTACAGAGTGAAGCCTCCGCTGTTAATGTCTCCAGTGTTTAATCATCATACAGTAGAATGGTTTTATGCATATTTCATTTGCATATCATTAAGCCATGTTAGCAAGGGGGCACTCAGAGCCAGGAGAAGTACAAAGCTGGGGAGACAGGGAAGGAAAAAAAGATCCCTATGATGCTTATCTTCAAACAGTGGCTTGTTCCATGATGTGTCTTCTGCGTTTGCTAAAATCATTATGACTTGGAAACCTTTGAAGTTGGATACAACCTTGGATTCTTCTAATTCCTGCAGAGCGGTATATTTTTAAAAAACAGCAGCAATGTCCCTGCACTAGACAATTAAAGGAATATAAACTCCAGTGGGCTGAAACTAGTAGCTCTTTGGGGAATGCAGTGGCAGAGGCTTCTACAAATACCAACACTTAAAAAATAATAAAGAGCATCATACAAAAAACAAAGAAAGAAGACAAGAAATGTTAACATGTGGATTATATCTGTTTCATTTGGGGGGTAATGAACTAAAGAGAATGAAGAAGCCATCGGTAATTTATCCCCTCATTAATGAAGTCACCTTTTGTATGTGTTTGTTTTTATCCTTTAATTGTGAAGATGGGTGTTGTCACTTTTGAAGTGGTTAATTAATTATTTCATAGCTCTGATCTTTCCCCTGCACCTGACAGAAAGGAAAGGTGGTGGTTAGGGAATATGTGAGTATTGGGGGCATCTACCGGGGGTGGGGATACAGTGAGTTCTTTGTAGATCGTATACATGTACAACATATTAATTGAGAGCTTTTAAAGTTCCCTCAATAGGCTATTTCACTCTTGGTAAAACAGCAGCTGGTTAGCCACTGTTGGTGACTCCTCAAATACCACTTTAACGATTTTTATTCTCTTGCTGTCCTTTCTTGTTTCTCCTCGGTCAGGAATGAGAATGTATTGCCACCCTTTCTTTACTGAGCCCCTCTCTCTTCCATCTTCTTCACTTGCAATTTTCAAACTGTGAAACAATGTTGGTTTAATATTGAATCCTGGTGCACAGTGTAACTGCACAACTTGATTTGGAAATGAGATGCTGGTTTATATTTAAATTATCCCCGCTCCTCCCTTATCCTCCAAAGCTTTGTCTCTGCTATGAATATTCAGATGAGGCGTGATGTGATTGCACTGTACAATTACTCCTAGCCATGGTGGTGGCAGGGGCTGCTGGGGAGAAAGAGCCAGACAGCCTCCAAGCCAGTGTGGAGTTTTGTTTTCGGTATTTTTTTCTATCTCTTGGCGCTGCGGTACATGCAGATGTCGCTGTTGTTCTTTATAAAGCTCTAATGACATGCAAAGGCATAACGATTTGGTTTGGACGCAAAGCATCAACCGAATGTTATGGATGTCTTTAAGAAGGAGAAATAGAAAATCCTGACCGAAGGAATGTCCACATAAATTATTTTCATTTAAATGAATTCAAAGGATGGGGTGAGGGCAAGTGAGAAGGAGTCACATGGAAAACATGCATAATATTAATATGCACAAAGAATTCTTCCCGAGGAGAGGCTCCTCACTACAGCTCATGGGACAAACAGGTTCATTAGGAGACAGCTCAGAGCAACTACCGCATTTTGCTATTTCAATTTTTCCCTTATTTTAAATGAAGCGTCAGACAGATGTGTTTTCTTGGCATGACAGCATTGAGATGGATCCAATCTGTGAAATTTGCTGCCCAGATAGCATTTCTAATGGAATCTGGGACTAAACAAGGGCATGGATGTGGAAGGGAGGGGAGAAGAGAGAATCCATGAAGAGGAGGCTACTCAGCCACTGCATGGCATTTGGTAGCACAGGAAGCTCAGAAGCCATCTTTGCTCCACTGGTCCCAAGTGTGAGCTCCTGATCCAGAGAGCCATCAGGGTTCACCAAGATGAGCACTGAGGCAGGCCCTTGTAGGTCTGAGGTAGAGGAAAGCGCAGCAACTTGGTGCCTGCTCCTCCCCCCTCAGCTGTCTTCAGCTCAGAAGCCAAAGGCACAGCTACTATTTTGGGATGCAGTAGAATGCTTTCTGGTCCAGGTATTTGTGGAAGAAGGAATTTTTGGTGCTACCGCAGAATATGATGCTAAAGAGCAGATGGAATCATTCGCTGCTTAAGGAGGCCTGATAATTGATGTGCCGGTTAATTCTCAGGGTAATGATTACTGGGGTTGTCTAACATTTCAGAGTGCTGAAGTTATGAGTGTCGATTAATGCATGTTTACAATAAACAGAGATAGACAAACGGTAAACGAGTCTGTTGGGTGGGTTCAGAACTGATGACATATCTGTACTATTCCTCACAGTTTCAAAGGGTTAGCAGAGTGCAAAGCGAGACGTAGACAGAAGACTTTGCTGATTTCCTTGGCAGGTTGATAGTCCAAATGACTCTCATAATTTGGGTTTAATTTTTATCTTTTGTTTAAATTATCTAAAGATAGTCTAAATTTGATCTGTGCATATAGTCAACTGTCTACTTGGTGACATAAGGCTGACCTAGAATGTATCTAATTATGTTGTAAATTCTGCTGATTTTTACCTATAATTTCCAAGGTTTCCATTTAACACATACACACACACTTCAGCTATGATGATATTCAAGTGTTGTTACAGTGTACCAAACTACAAAGAATGAAGAATTAAGGCTATTTGGAGAATTTCAACTTAATCTTAATTATTTTGGCCTCTAATCTCTTATTTCTCTGTTGTCAGAATTATGAATATTACATTTGAAATAATACACATAAAGATTTTGGTGCAGGACCTGAAATAATAAGCTTTAAATACATGTTAGATTTTATTACTTCTGTTGCCACTGTTTGGTATATTATTTAGATTTTGAGAGAGTTAAGGAAAAGGAAAATTTACCTAGCTATGCGAGTACAATGAGAAAGCATTACATAGGTATCTAGAATAAACATTGCCTTGTTATATACTAATATGAGCTGCAATATGACTTCTGGTTACAGATCATTTGTGTTATTTACTTTACTTCTCTCAAATGGATATAATTCTGGAAAGACAGTCATGTTGATGACATCTATGGTCTGATGAATTCTCTCAGTTTGTACGAAGGGTACAGAGACTGAAATGTGTTCTTCATTAGACACTGATAAGGCATTCAGTCTTTCAAAAAATAAGTCATATTCAAAACAGTAAAACATTAACTATGTTCAATTATCGATAACTTAAATAATTTATAAAGTTATAAAGTCTCATTCCCAACTCTTCTGGTTATGAGTTCAGAAACCTCATTCACAAATCTGTAATGACTGCTACTGATTAGTTGTTCATCTTTCCTGATAGTAATAGCTGGCCCAGATTTTAATATATTAGCATACTTTTAAAAATGCAAATTATAGTTTTACAGATTCCTTATAATTCTCTGTAAACACAATCCATCCATCCATGTCTGCATAGCTGCTATCTTCATTACCAGCAATCATACTTTTCCCTCCCTCCCTCCCTCCATCTCTCCCTCTTTAATCCCTTCCTAACTTGTCTTATCTCATTGGTGAGGACATCTAGCACAACTCTGCATAGATGCAATGAGGGTAGGGAGAGAACCCCTTGCTTTGTTTCCTGTATTAGGGACACCATTGAGTTTTGATGACAGAGTATTTTCATTTTTCATCACTAAGATACATGCCCTATATTCAGTGAAAGTAGTTTCCTTATATTTCTAGTCTTTTTTTTTTTTTAAGTCATGAGTGGTTGGTAAGCTTTGTAAAATGATCTTCTTGCCTCTGCTCAAACAAGTAACAGCTTAAATAAAGCTGTTAACACCACGAATCACAATGACTGAGTTTGCTGTTAAATGAGCCTTGCAATCCTATGACAAATGTCACTTTACCGATACACTTATCTTTTACATATTATGATACATGACTTATTAACATTTTGTTAAGGATTCTTAAATAAATGTGAATGAGAGATACTAGTGTATAATTTTCTTGTAATGATTTTGGTATTGTTCCCAGGGTCTTGCTGGCTTTATAAATGGGTGAGCCAGTATCCATTCTCTAGTATATTTTGAAACCTTGTGTAAGATTGTTATTATTTTTACTTAAATTTTGGATACAATTCACTAGTGAAACTATGAGGCCTAGATAATCTTAATTACTGATTCATTTTTTAAAAAATTATCTAGGACTATTTGTATTTTTTATTTCTTTTGTCAATTTTGGTAAGCTATGCATCCCCACCACAATTGGCTACTTTGTCTTAGTTATCAAGTCAATTAGGATAAAGTTTATCATGTCATATTATTTAATTTTTAATTCATTAAAACTTCAGTGACACCATTCTTTCATTTGTTATATTCATGATTTATATTTTCAATCTATTCTTTAAAAACCAATTTCAGGCTGGAGAGATGGCTCAGCCTTTAAAGGCTAGGTTCACAACGAAAAATATAAAAACCAATTTCACTAATCTTTTCAAGGAATTGACTGTCG